ACAAGTCAATTCAGTCCGTCGAATTGAGTCTCGAAAGGGTTTATTAAAGTTACAAGTCGAATTCAAAGACAATACACTTTATTATTTAGTGGTAATGGAAAGTGGACATCAACTAACTCACTAACTAACTGTCTAACTATCTCTCACTAACTGTCCTTTCGTTTATTGAATTTATGGGCTTTATATACATTTTAATTTCCAGTAACGTAAACACCGCAATTGTGGTGTTTACACCGAAAATATAACGTAGACGTGGAAATTTAGGTGTATACACCGTAAAAATAACGTATACAGTACACCGAAAAGTCGTAAGGCGCAGTCTGTGTAATTACGTAGACGTGGTTTTTTCGGTGTTTACGTGATTCATCTGATTTCTATGTTCTATGGACTCCGCCAGGAGTCTAGACACTTTTGCAGTAACGTGATGTGGCTAGGGATGGCCACGGTCGGTCATTTTCGGCTAGCCGTTTTGTAGCCGTTAGCTGTATCTCGCGATCCAGCAGTCCAAATTGGATGATTTTAGTGCCATTCGAATCGTCTCATTGAGACGATTCGAATGGTACCAAAATCATCCAATTTGGATCGCTGGATCGCGAGATAGCCGGTCGGCTAAGCCGAAAATGACCGACCGTTGCCATCCCTAATTGTGGCATACTCGGATAAGCTTTTTTGTTTATGTTATGTTTCCGGTTAAGGTTCGTGGTTATAGGCCTTGAAAGATTGTCCCCATATGTAAAATTACGCTCCCAACATTTCTTGTTAGTGACCAAAGGTCGATTTAAACACTAGTTTTCGAGTATTTCGCTTTTTTCTCTTTTTTTCTTCTTGCGCACGTTGACGTCGGGCTGATTCGGGACAATCAAAATTTACGCATCCCGATTGGCCATTTCTCATGCGCCACATCACGTTACTGCAAAAGTGTCTAGACTCCTGGTGGGGTTATTTCAATGCAACTAAGCCATTAAGCCACTCATCATTACCATTCTAGTATAAGTTATGAAATAATCGAAAGAAATTAATCAATATACTAAAATTGGACTTTGTTACCAGAATGGATAGGGAATTACTAATCAACTATGTATATTCGGATGATTTACCGAGAAAATAAAGAAATTATTTACAATAATATAGAAAATTAAAATTTAATTCGTTATAGTAACCGACCGATTTCGGCATTATCAGAAAGTTGTTCTCGCGAAGGCACAAAAATGGGGTTCAATTTATGAACTTCTGTAAGTGTTACCTACATTATTGTACCATTTATATTAGATATATTAAGCAATTTTTTATTGTATTTAGAGCTCTAGCATCAATTATAGTGCTCTGTTGGCCATGTTCATATTCCAATTTCACAAACCAAGAATGGAGAAAAATTACAAAAACCAATCCTTACACTTTACATGAATCGCCTTTACCACCGGAAATTTTATTATCTCTTCGAGAGACAGCTAGTAGACGTTTGATTGATGGAGATGTTTTCATGGATAATGGTGAATCCGAATTAAGTAGAATTGTTGCACTAATGTTCAACAACCTGTGAGTTTGCTTGGCATACATCATCTTGCATCTTATTCGCGAAGTCGTAGCTTACATAAATATAATACAGGTATTATAATATTTCGGAGGTTGCTTCATCAAAGTTGTCAGAAGAGGAATATTGCGATATGTTCATATATCCAATTGCTCGTTCATTTCGCAGAAATGATAAAGAATATGAACTCAAATTAAATCGGACTAATGTAGGATCAAAGACAAGGCCTGATCTTTCCTGCACAGTAAATGACATACCTATTCTAAACTCCGAATTTAAACCATTGGGTTGTACTCCATTGCAAGAGAAGATGGACCGATTGAAAGTTCAACTAAAGGCTCAAAAATCGATTAATCAACAATTACAAAGAAAAGAAGGTCCAGGCGAGGCAGTCATGTTTTTAAACATTGGTATATATACTTACAATTAATTACAAGAAATTGGAATTTCTTATAATTTGCTAACTTATACTTTTACAATGGTAAGGTAACTCAATGGAATCGTTTTTATGGATTTGAAATGTGAGCGCACTGAAGTTAGTGACATACTTGAGGACAAATGTATGTCAGGATGGAATACGTATCACTTAAAGCATTACTTAATAGGAAAAAAAATATGCGCAATGGGAGTGATGGGCTATACCGCTCCTGGCCATTTCTTACAACCAAACTGGTGGTTGACATAGTGATGATACCCGGGTTATCTGCAGATAATCGGATATCCGGGTTATAAACTCAGCTACCCGGATAGACATACCCAGATAATCTTCGGGTAACACAAGTTTGAATCTTCATATAGATTACAGTCAGGGATTTTACTAAATTAGGAAATCACATTCTAGAATGATCTCTGTGTTATTTCATGAATTTGATTGGCT